CATAACCATTTTCGAACCTTTTGGGCCTCTTGTTATAATATGTTTGCTAAAGCCAATTTCCAAATTGATGATAAAATCACAAATTTGTCATCTACAAATTTGTCATCTACGGTATATACAATATGTATAATAAATGAGAAAAACATACGTCGAACAGACCCAGGGGTCTATATCAGATGGGGAAGGGGATATTTCTGTCTTCAAGCACCCATGAATAGTATAGCAATAGACATCAGTAGCTAATAAGATAATGTGGATCCCCAGTGTACTTTTCTAGATCACAATTTTATGCATTACCATGATTACTGTAATGATGATTGGACTTAAGCCCACAAATAGCAACATGACAGTAACAAAGAAGCAATCTGATTAAAATCAGATCCTTTGATCCGCTCACATGGATCGCTACACAAGGATCATATCCTTGTGTAGCCATCTATGTGAGCGGATCAAAGGATCTGATTTTAATCAGATTGACAAAGAAGGGAATACAGGTATAAGATGATAAATAGGAATGCCTATGAGGGTGATATAAAAAGGAATAAGGAAAAGGATAAAATTTCAATCAGACAATTCACAAAATCAACTCTGTTTGTTAAGCCGAGTGCTTACAAAAATATAATTATATAATTAGGTTTTTTGTGCATGGTTTAATCATGCATTAATCATTAAAAACAAAGATACCCAGTTTCAATTTAGATTTTATGAATTTATGTCAAGATTGTGGCTTTTTATTTGAATGAAAAATTATTAATACTGTCTCATAAAAGTTATGACAATGTTTTGTTTTTCAAAAACAAATCAATTTTTCAACATACAGAATTTATAGCATAATTACCTTGACCCTTTGATCACAAAATCAGTAAGGGCTAAGGGTCTCCCTCGAGCCACAGATAGTTGCTGTGTAAAATTTCAATGCAAAAGCTCAAAGCCTTCTTGAAAGTGTTACAGACAGACAGAAAGACACACGGACAGATGCACAGACCTAAATTTAGTATCCCCACTTTCAGTGAAGAGGGGGGAGAATTATATCAGTTTTTTTGTTGATGTTAAACTTGGTTTATCAAGATACTTGAAAAAGAATATAGCATAACTTTCCCAGTGATTATTCAGTTCTTTCTTTTCCTACATAAATAGTTTTTGATATCATATTGAGCTAAATAAAATATACACCTACACATTTATCTATTTTAACATCAATATGCACTAAGCAACACAGTTCCAAAAAGCCAGATAATGTATTGGACCAGCATGCAAAACTCATATAAAACCATTTTCCCCCAAATAAATGAAGAGTCCTTCCCAAACTTATGAGTTAGGACTTTGTGCTGTGTCATGTAGCATGATAAAAAGCTAAAGAAAAAAAAATATTTCATTAGAATACAATTTTGAAGAAGTATAATTAAACTACCTAAACTCCAGTACAAGTCAAATTGAACCATCTTTGATGTCTTGATTAAATGTTCTTATTTTAGGCACAGAGCAACAGAAAGAGTTTTTTTTTAACTAGACCATGTTCATAATGCATGTATCATTTCTCAGGTACCGTATCTTTAATATACAAGTATACATACAAATGAAATATTCAGTACTTATAATGATGTTCATCAGCTCAGACAATTACAGGTTCGAGAGTCTGTGTCAAAACTCATGGAACAAATGCTCACTGGATCCATATCAAAATATCACTTTAACATAGAACATTCTATTTACTCAGGGAGTTGTTGACTTTTAAAGCATCATACCAATGACTTTTCATACCAATTTTGCATAGATCAGTTTTTCCAAGGAGGGGTCCTGCCATCCAAGGTCACTTTTAGTACAATTCATTGTTATCTTTGGACTTTCAGTAAGCGGGATATTCTTGATGTTATATAATTAGCCTCTAAAATTTACACAGCTTTTATTCATTGTTGAAATATATGTGACCGGGATAGAAATTCAGGACATATAATATTATTAGAATATCAAGCAGCAATTTATTTTTACTAGTAATGAACTTTATAATTTTGAGCTAAATCTGTTTAATTCGCCCTATAAAGTAATATTAGGTGGATCAGCAGATTAAAAAAATAATTAAACCATTGAACAAGCATATTTTCTCTATAATTCATATGTTAAAACAATTCTTTTGCTTTTAATTTTAGAAAGCTAGCATAGATATCTTAATTGCTGCATTTCCGTAATTTCACGAGACAATGTCTATTTTTAGTAACAATCCTTTCAAAAGGAGGCCCGGTTGACCGCAAAATTTACACTGATCTGGAAAAGACAAATACTCAGTTAAGATTCTGAAAAGTTTCAACAAAATCGGTAGTTCCGTTATTTCTATAGGATGGTATGGATCTTTACCTTAAGCAAACATTTACACTACAATTTAGCAAAACGTAAGGAATAACAAATGTATTTTTAAACTATATAAAGTATGAATTTAAAAGGTATTTAGTTTAGATTTCATTCTTCAGTTTCACTTGTACTCTGAAAATCAATTCAACACTCTTTTTTTTCCTCTTCTTTTTTTGTTTTCTCGTTATAACTTAGGAAAAATAAATGCCCTGTAACCCGCTGTTAAATTAGTTTGAATTTCTCGAGATCGAGAGATCAAGGAAATCAATTATTCATGTACATGTAAATCTACATGTACCTGTCTACGTCGAATGTACAGTTGAATTTTAGAAAATTTATCAATGTTCTCCATTATATCGCTGTTTACATGTACAGTGTACATGTCCGCATCGTCTCATAAATAACAATGATCGATTCGCAATACCATTACTGTGCTGGAATATACAAGGGGCGGGGCTAACTGGCGGTGACATTAAAGCGGGGTCCGCTTCACGCACCAGTGCGTAAAGCGGTCCCAGGAAGCGAACGCCGGGTTCGCTCTAGCGGACCCAGAGCTGACCCGGAGCGAACCCGGAGCGGACCCAAAGCGCACCCGGAGCGGTCCCAAAATTTCTGAAAGCGAACCCGAAGCGGACCCCTAGCGAACCCGGGAAGCGAACCCGGGGTCTGCTCCGGGTTCGCTCTGGTGTTAGGTTGTGTGCGGTAGGTACTGCAGTGCTAGTTGTTTTTGGTTTCTCCTTTTCTTTTGTTCTTACATGTATGACTTTTTAACTTTTTTTCTTTGTCCTGAGGAAGGGACAGAGCGTCTCGAAAACTGTTGGTCATTTTAGTGCTTTACATCTTCCTGTACATATATTTTTTGAAAAAAAAAATTGCTGCAGCAGGCTTATAGAAAACAATTTGAAAACAGTATTGGGAGGACGATTCATAGAAATTTAAGTGAAAGTCATCAGGTTTTATGATTAAAATCAAATCTAATGATGAGAGTTAACAGTTATGATCTCTCTCTCTCTTTCTCTCTCGTCTTGATGTTTCCTGTATCTATTTATATTTAAATATTGGGTACAATAATATTCCTGAACTGTATTTCTTTTCTCCTCTTTTTGTAAGTAAGAATTGTACTATCAATTGATTTCTAATTTAATGCATTGACTGATGTATTTACTCAATTTATTTACCAAATTGACTTTAAATACTGGTAAAAAAATAAATAAAATATAAGCGTAAATATTCATGTATAATTCTACTTGGAAAATCAAAACATATAATTAATTAATTGCTTTAATAAAAAAAAAGAAAATAAAGATATGAATATAAAATATAACCCTGAGAATTAAAATAAATAAATATTAAATAATATTTTAATTATCATAATAGATTTACACAGCACATTCACATGTCTTGCTTGTATGTTCAGTGTTTAGATTTATCAATTAAATCAACACGTTCGATCTTATATCCCAATCGACAGTTCAATATGCTATTTTGATTGGTTGATGCGCTGATTGGTTAATCGCTAATCCTGATTGACAACAGCTCTGTAAAGAAATACCGAACCCGCGTTTGCTCTCTAGGACCGCTACTGAATTTGGGGCTCGCTCTCTGGGTCCGCTTCGGGTTCGCTCGGGGTCCGCTACGGGTTCGCTTTGGGTCCGCTCGGGGTCAGCCCTAGCGGACCCCGAGCGAACCCGGAGCGGACCCAGAGAGCGAACCCGGGGTCCACTCCGGGTTCGCTTTCTGTTAGGTTGTGACCGGTCGGTACTGTAGGTCAAAATGTTGGACCCCCCTTTTACAACTTCCTGGATCCGCCTATGGGGGTATTCGGTTTTTAAAGGATCTTAAATACAGTTAACACAGTTTGTAGCTTGTAGATTATGATCTACTATTTTTTCTCATTAATTAAGTATTTTGTTTAATTTAGACAAGGTGACAACTTGGATTGTTAAGCGATGACAAGTGCCCCACCTGTACATCTGAAAATAAACCATGACGTCACAATTGAATCTTGAAAAATCTACGATATGCTCAGAGTTAATATTTCAGACATACCAATTTAAAAATGCAATAACTTTGTTATAAATGCAGATATTTTTATTCTGTTTTCAGTTTTTGTCGTGATTTTACATGGACCACTAAAATACACAACAATCTCAAATTCGATAAATTTTGCCATAAGGTCGCTTTCTATCCGACGAGGCTCAAATATGGACAAACACACTCACCATTGATTTACAGATGAAAACAATTTTCAGAATGTGTTTGTTTTTCTCTGAGAGTTTAATATAATCTTTAGAAAAATATACCAAACCAGGTAATTTTTATGAGGAAAAAAAAATCGTAAAAAATTGCATATGTGTTCTCCTATTTCTTTATTACCATTTTTTTCCTTTTCCTCATTAAATTCACATGGCATGGTATATTTTTCTTAGGGTTATAGTACACATTCGGCACCAAGCTTACATATTCTGAAATTTGTTTTCGCTTCTAAATCTTTACTGAGTGTAATTTGTTTTTATTTTTAATTTATTCAAGATTTAACTTATATTTTTCAAATCCCAGATCTTGGCTAAAACAGTCTCACCGAACACATTGTTGCCTACCCCCTGCATGGGGATTTGAACCCGAGAGAGAATGAAAGAGAAAGAGATGACTACCTTTCAGTTTTTCCAAGGTATTTTTATCTTCATCACCTGTCCAGAGAAAGAACATATCTCTTCTTATATTCTCATGTTCACCTCTAAGCGTCAAATATATCTGCAATGAAATTTTGAGATTGGAAATGTCTAGAATTCCAAAAATTAATTTCTTTACTGATTCAAGAAGGCATTAAAACAATTTTTAAACAAATTTCTATTATCCTTCATGTCCAAACTGAACCTCGGTTAAGAGAGGTGGTAATATTCTCAACAAACTTAAATCTGTACTATTATAGGCTGTTTGCATATTATTATTTTCACATTTTCAAACCTTTTCTTAAATTGGAAAAGTTTTTGGTCTATCATTTGAGTTAACTTTAGTTGTTTATGTATAGATATATAAGGGCCAAGTCTGATTGACAGTTACATATAGGGAAATGATAAGAAAAATCTTCAACAAGAGGCCAAGGGGCCACATCGCTCACCTGAGCAATTGGCTAGCAAAATGCACATATCAGATCAATACTGAAAGTTTACTGAAGGGGTTATGATTTGAACAAACTAGAATCTACACTACCTGAGGATGATTCCCTATAAATATCACTAAGCATTGCTTTGAAGTACTTGAAAAGAAGATTTTAAAAGGTTTCCCTATATATTCCTATGTAAAATTTTCATTGGCCATTTTGGCCCCACCCTATCCCCGGGGGTCATGATTTGAACAAACTTGAATCTACACTACCTGAGGATGATTCCACATGAGTTTCAACTTTCCTGTCTCAATTGTTCTTGAAAAAAAAGATTTTTTCCTATATATTACTTTGTAAAACTTCAATCGGCCATTTTGGTTCCACCCTACCCCTGGGGGTCTTTATGTGACCAAACTTGAATCTACACCACCTGAGGATGATTCCACATGAGTTTCATCTTTCCTAGCCCATTGGTTCTTGAGAAGGAGATTTTTAAAGATTTTTCATGCAGTATTCCTATGTTAAACTTTGATCGGTCATTTTGGCCCAACCCTACCCCTTGGGGTCATGGTTTAAATAAACTTGAATCTACACTACCTGAGGATGATTCCACACGAGTTTCATCTTTCCTGGCCCAGTGGTTCTTGAGAAGACGATTTTTAAGCATTTTTCCTATATATCCCTATGTAAAACTTTGATCGGCCATTTCGGCCTCACCTTTCCCCTGAGGTCATGATTTGAACAAACTTGAATCCACACTACCTAAGGATGATCCACACGAGTTTTATATTTCCTGGCCCTGTGGTTTTTGAGAAGATTTTTTAAAAATGCCATTAAGTTTTCTCTAATTAATAATTATCTCCCCTTGGAAAAGGGCGTGGCCCCTCATTTGAACAAACTTGATTTCTTCTACCCAAAGATACTTTGTGGCAAGTTTGGTTGAAATTGGCCAAGTGGTTCTTGAAAAGATTGATTGATTGATTGTATATTGTTTAACGTCCCTCTTGAGAATTTTTCACTCATATGGAGACGTCACCGATGCCGGTGAAGGGCTTCAAATTTAGACCTATACTCGGCACTCAGGGCCATTGAGCAGTGAGGGTTCTTTATCATGCCAACGCCTACCGTGACACGGGACCTACGTTTTTAAGGTCATATCCGAAAGACCCGTGACTTTCATCTCTAGTGCCGAGCGCTTGGCGAAGGAACAGTCACTACCTATGTTTACGTCTTAGGTATGACGCGGCGCCGCGATCGAGAATCGAACCCGGGCCTCCCGATCACGAAGCGAACGCTCTACCACTAGGCTACCGTAACCGGTGTTCTTGAAAAGAAGAAGAAAATGTAAAAAGTTGTAAAAACAAGAGGCCCACGGGCCTTATAGGTCACCTGAGAATTGTGTAACAACTTTCAAACAATTAAATTTGGTTTGTGTTTTAAACCAGAGGCCATGAAATTCACAATTCACAATTTTGAAAAAGGCAACATTTGCTCATCATAATTATTAACTTAGTATGCTTACTCTTTTTAGTTAATACCCAGAGGTAGAGCAGAGTAACAAAGAGAAAATGCACTTCCACTTTAAACCCAGTTGTGCACCTCACCCCAGAGGAACCACTGACCTCATATTTCAATTTTTTTTTCAAATTTTATCAATTTGATTAATACCAAAGGGCAGATTTCAAAGCATTAATTTATTTTCAGACCATATAACCCCCCCCCCTCTGATGTAGGGGGCATAAAAAACCACTTTGCTAAATAAATGGACCTTTCTTCAACATCAATATATATACTTGAATCATTGGCATAAAACCCAGAAGCAAAGGAAAATAATTTCAAAGAATTAATGTATTTTTACTATATAATCAATACAGCTCCGCCCTTACACAAGAACCCCTTACCCTGGGGCCATAAAATTCCCAACTTTAGAAGAGGCACTCTTGCTCATCATAACTATGTACTTAGTTAGTTCATTTAATACCAAGAAGCAGAGAAGACAGTTTTCAAAGAATAAATGTATTTTCACTATATAATCCATAGAGCCCCACCCTAACACCAGAACCCCTGACCCTGGGGCCATAAAATTCACAAATCTGGAAGAGGCACTCTTGTTCATCATAACTGTGTACTTAGTTAGGTTAAATAATACCCAGAAGCAGATGAGAAGATTTTCAAAGAATAAATGCAATTTCACTATATAATCAATAGAGCACAGCCCTAACACCAGAACCCCTGACCCTGGGGCCATGAAATTCACAATTTTGAAAAAGGCATTCTTGCCCATCATAACTATGTGCTTAGTTAGTTTATTTGATACTCAGAAGCAGAGAAGAAGATTTTCAAAGAATAAATGCATTTTCAATATATAATCAATACAGCCCCGCCCTAACACCCTGGAGCCATGAATTTCACAATTTTTGTAGAGGGCTCAATGCTGATTACAATCATACCAATAGTTTGACTCCTTGATGTTCGTGAGTAAAGAAGAATATTTTTAAAGATTCCACTAATTTTAGTGGTTTTTGCCACACCCCAATTACACAATGTTTAAATGTTAACGCACGACGCACGACGCATGACAGACGACGAACGACAGACGACGGACGACGATGGACAAAAACAGATAACAATAGGTCACCTGAGTTTACTTAGGTGACCTAAAAACATATATTTAAGATTTTTATTTTTTTCATATTTATTTATTTTCATTTCTTCATACAAACAAACAGTGAAATATATATAACAGACAAATAACATTACAAACAATATGACAATATTACCTTCAGACAATTTTATGCAAAATTTTTAAAACGTTTGTAGCCAAGTGATTTCAGATTTTTCAGAATGGAAGCATAGAAAAAAAAATTGAAGATTTAACGTGATTAAAGATGTTATAACTAGTTTCATCTAAGGAATTTATCTTATATCTTATATTACATTTGATATTTATAAATTCTATAGGCAACATAAGAGATGAGAACGTTGAGTGATACAATTTTTCTACTGCGCTCAGAGCTAAATCCAATTATTACATGTTTCCATTTGATATCTTTTTTCAGGTACAAACTACATCTGTTCCATTTTTCAATAACATTTCTACATTCAAAAAAGAGATGTTTTGAAGTTTCATTCACGTGGCATAATTTACAATGACTACTCGTTTTTTTTTTTTTCCATTTACTGAGATAGAAGTTATTACAAAGAATATTGTTTAAAAGTTTATAGTTGATTCTGTAAGTTGTTTATCGGGTATGTCATATAATTTAAATTGATATATATTTTTCCATTCTGAGGGTTCAACACTGAATTCTTTGCTTAAAACTATTTGAGAACATGCTTCACAAAATTTTCTGTGTACAGGATTGTCATAGAAAAAGTTACATCTTTGATCTATGATATTAACATATCCTGTGTAGAAAAGAAAATAATTTCTGTATCTTATGTTAACAAACTTACAATTTGAAAAATCATACTTTAGTAGCAAAGGTTTGAAAACAGAAGTAAGAATTTTAAATTCACACAACCAGTTTGACTTGTTTTTATACAATTAGAATAATCTAACAATGATTTAAAATTACCATCATCGTCAACTAAGTCGTTAACATGTAAAATCCCACTGGCTGTCCAGTTTTTAAAAAACAATGTATTTCCCCTATAAACGAAGTTACAATTGTTCCATATAGGCTGTCGAAGAGCATTATCGGAAGACAATTTGTTCAAAGAACAGGGCTTACATTCATAAAAGCAACAAAATATTTGTTGATAAAATTCAGGTAATTTCTTTATTTTTTCAATATTTTCTATTTTTCTATCAGAAAAACACATAAAGAACATCAAAATTTGATTTTTTACAATAGCCATCAACAATGTTGTACAAAATACCTATAAGCGTGTTTCTTTTAGTTCGTTCATTTTTATCCAAAAGAAGTTATAAATTAGACGTTGCAATTTTTTTGTGAAAGCAATATCAGGAAGACTAAGTATTGAGGCAACATATGTAAGTTTAGATATAGCAATATCGTGATATATTTTCATCCAGTTTTTAGTGTAACATTCTTCTTTATCATGCCCAATGAATATTCCCAAGCATCTTACTGCTTTATTCGTAATTTTTGTACCCTAGAGTTCATTATATAAATTTTTTAGTTCCCCTAGTAGAATGCATTCTGTCTTATGCGTGTTTACTTTTATTCCTGCATGTTCACAAAATTATTGTAATTTATCCAGAGTTCGCTTCATTGATATTTCGTCTTCTAAAGCTACAGTCAAATCGTTCGCATGTTGGATGTTTTTAATTTCATGATTATTAATTGTAATGTCTTTTATATCAGTATCACATTTTATTTTAATAGCTAAAATTTCTGCGATGAATAGGTACAAGAGAGCGGAAATAAGACAGCCTTGCTTAATTCCTCGTATCATTTCGCTGGTTTTAGAAGGCCAGCCGTTGTTTTTCATTTTAAACATTGAATTTGTATATAAAATTTTGCCCACTTTATAAAATTATTGCAAATATTAAATTTTTGTAACACTTGGAAATGAAAATTCCATTCAACCGAGTCAAAGGCTTTTTCAAAGTCTAAGAAAAGTAAAATACCATCTGCATTTTCTCTTTCACAGTATTCAAAACCGTCAAGTACTAATCTAG